GCCCGCTGTATTGTGTGTTTCACTCTCACTGACTTCGCCAAGTGGGGCTGAGTTTGCATGCTCACTGTGTTCGACAGGATGTGAAACGGCAGCGGGCAAAATGGCAGTGGCAGGGGGTGAAGCAGAGGGCGGAGAGGGATCGGAATGGGTTTGTTGTGTACCCGATGGATATGGCAGCACCATTTGAGCGGGTGTAGGTGATTGCACCAATGGCTCAGGCGTGAGACTGCCGTTTGTGTCACCGGCACCATCATGCGCGGGAGGGGCGATAGGGGTGGGCGCGCGGAGTGCGGTGGAGCGAGGAGGGGAGTCGCTTTCATCCGAAGACATGGTCAAAAAATCCGATGGTGTGTTAGGAATCGAATGATGTGTCTGCCCTGTGGACTCGGGCGAGGGTCGCTGCTCCCCGCTGCCATTTGGCTCAGAGGGCACCGATGTTGACAAATCCTCGGTCACAGGGGCCGAAGATGTGGCAGTGGCGGCGGCAGGCATTGCCGCAGCAACTTGAGCAAAGGAGCGAGGGCTGGATGGCGTGCGAGGGGTGCGGGGAGAAGCATTGGAAGTGTTTCCGATGATGGGATGTTGCTCCCCGCCGCCGTTTGACGTCCTGGTCACTGGCTCGGCCGCGGGCACGACGGCACGTGCCGAAGACTCGGTCGCACCGGCAGCGGGGGACGTCGAGGGCACATGAGACGAGGCACGAGCGGTAGAGGCAGAGTGGCGGGCGCAAGGGCGAAACGGGGTGGTCATAGGGTCAGGGAAAACATGGTTACGGTCATGGCGAGCGCTGCCATGTTTCGTGTGTTTTGCAGAACGATGAGTTTGGGAAGGCGAGGTGGTGGTGTTGCTTGGAGGTGACTCGGCACTCGGGCGTTTAGCACCGCGGACCTGGGTCCAAGAATCCTCGTCGCCGGACTCAGTGGCCATGTCCGCGGGGCAAGCAAGCGAGCAAGCGAGCGGACACGGTGGGAGCGAGGGCGCCGCCAAAACGCGGGCCGCAAAGAGCGGGGTTGCAGATTTTGTCTGACAACGTGGTTCACGCAAGAGCTGCTCAATGGACCGAGCCATCGTCGTTTGTGTGACATGCTCTTCCGTTCTCAGCTTGAAGGGGAGTATTAGAGGCACAATCTGAGACGGTATACTTTACCACGTTGTGTGTCCTCTGGTACTTGATGTTGTCCCACCTTGTTGTGTAACATCTGGTTGTACCATCTTGCTGTACCATCTTGTTGTAGCATCTGTTGGTCCCAACAGATTGCTGATATCGCTTCCACCTGTCTTCAGTGTGATAGTCCATTCTCTGTCTCCACTGTGTGTGTTTCCACCTGCTATAAATGGGAGCGATCTCCCTGGATCGGTACCATTTTCCTTCTTGACCTCGGTCGTTCCACTTCCCTCCTTCTGTCTTGTTCTGTCTTGTTCCTTCGCCTTGCTTCAATCCATGTTCTCGTATGCACTTCGATTGGTTGGATACCTCTGTGACAATCGCCTTGTCCACACACATTACACTGTACTGGACATACACCTTTAATAACATGCCCTTTGCTCCATCAACTGCACTATCCTGGAGAAGGCCAATAAATAAATTAGGTGTTTGAACCTCAGAGCTGAAAGCAAAGCTGTGCAACCCCGACATCAACATCACAACGGCACGCAAAACAACACAAGAGAACAAGCTACATTCATTGGCTTCTATCATGCCAAGAAGTACAAGCGCGAAGAATCACGCACATAGAAACAAAAATCGTACAAAACGACCAGGTATAACCAGAGATACGGCCATTTAAAACACAAGACACCCAAAAAGGGAGTCACACATATCACAACTACTAGCCATCACAGCACGAACATAAAGAACACCACGGCACGCTCACATCCAACAAGAGACAGTGTCGGGTTGAAAAGACAACCGATCACAGAAGAAAAAGACATCATACAAAGGACTTTACACAAAAATTCAGCAAAAATACCACACAAATACAGCAAAAATTGAAGCAAAATTAAACAAAAATACAAGTCAAGCCATCAAAAGACCACAACGAAAACCACCTAGGGAGCGACAGGTGCACACAGGGATCCCCGCAGAGGGACCCCCGAGGCGGTGCCTACCTACGACGAGCGCAGGCAGACACCGCCAAAGTGGCGCTGGATGTGGTCAGCGTTCATCTGATGGACCAGCGCCGCAAAGCGACCCTTCCACCGAGGAACAAAGGCCTCATCCAGCCCCGGCTGGTACACACCACGGGCCTACTGCAAAGAATAATAGTATCCTTCAAGAACAAACAAACACTAACATGTGAAACATCTGTCTCAGCGGGTTCAATGGCTCTGGGTTCATAACCACGAAACACGATGCTGTGGATAAGTCAGCCAGCCAGATTTGCAGAGGAGATGACAAATCAGCGGTGATTCCATTGTCGCAATGCGTCTTTGTTTTCTTTGCTTTCTCGGAACACTTGTGAGCCCACATTCATGTAGCAAATACTGTGGACGATTACGTTGAGAATCTGTTGTTTATCTGATCGTTTTCGAGAATTTGGCAGGATGTTGTTCTCCGAATTCATCTGATGTCAATTTAACGTGTGTGTGTGTGTGTGTGTGTGTGTGTGTGTGTGTGTGAACAGTATGCCTTGTTCACACCACTATACTCATCAGCAACCATCTACGCCAGCTGGCTTGCTGGAGGACGTGGCATATAAGCGATGTCGGGTGGGAGCGTGGTGACTATACCTGTAAAAATGCATGTGTGTGTGTGTGTGTGTGCCAGCTCAAGCACGTGTGGTGCTCATTGCAGGTGTGAATTCACAAATTCAATGTCTGATGGAAACAGAGAGAACGTACAGTCTACAACAGCACGTGCTCGGTGCAAGCCAACACTGAAACGTGGTTGGGTTTGATAATAGATTTGGCGGCTACAATATTGGGCCTTGAAGAGCATGCTGAGACCGTGCCATGCTTGATGTCTCTTGGATGACACCAACTCAGTGTCGGGTTCATGCTGCGCAATCCAAAGGACACGAGTCAAAGGTTTCAGAGCCTGTGCAAGCAGTATCACCGCAACACGCTTGAACCACAGGTTTCTCGCGGCATCGAAAACTCTCCTCAGAACAAAGCGATGCCGAGCAGCCAACTGTGGTCCTGCCAACTTCAGTGCACCCGACCATCATGGTGCCAAAACCGCAGCAAGTGCCTGCGACGCTTCCAGCGCAATCAGCTGGGCAATTACTGCAGGATTCACCGTCACCGGCCTCGCAAATGCCGTTCCCGCATCGAGCTCCGGAGCTTTTGAAAGCCGGAAGCAGCAATCGAGCACGTTGGCGGTAAGAAGTATAAAGATAAAGCAGTGCAGCAATTTGAGCAATCGAGGAATGTGGAGACGGAAAAGGAGAGATGGAGAAAAGCCGAGTATGACTCACGTCAAGCCACCACAGTCTGATGGGCACGAATGACAGTCTTCTTTTGCTTCACAAATGCCGTTCTTATTGCACTCTCGTCCGATTAACCAAAACTAGTCTCACATGTATATCCACGCAATCAGATGAGATCGTTGGCGGATCGAGAAATGACGATAACAATAATAACATTGTCATTTGAACATACTGGTGCATACCTGGCGCATCATATCGTGATCCTCATGTTCAAGAACGTGGCAGTGGTAGGGAAAGCGGCCCAAGTGTTTCTTATCAAACTGGACCACCACTGTCACAGACTCCATGGGTCCAACGTGAACCACATCCTTCCAGCCTCGCTCATAATGCTCCGGCTTGGTTGCGTAGCCTGTTTTTACGTAGGTTTGGTTGCCAGGGAAGTACACAATAGGCTGACGTTCGTCAATCTACTCATCGTTTAGTTTTTGCAGATGCAGTAAGTTCGCGCATCCAAATGGGCGCACATAAGGGCATTGTTCATCGCGGTGACAAACCTGGAACTCAGCAAGATGCAGATGCATGGGATGGATGTGGCCTTCATTGATGTTGACAAAAGTCCATATTTCCTTTTTGCCAGCCTTGACCTTGACATCGACATCATCCCAGCTTCCATTGTTAATGCGGAAAACCTTACCCCCGCAGGAATCATCCTTTTCTTCTGATAGGATGAAATCGCGTCGTTTGTACTTTGACTTGGCTTTGAGCTTTTTTAGGTTGGCATTCAGATATTTGTCAGGCTTGTTCTTGTTCTTCTCAGACTCGATGACGTGGAACTCGAGAAACGGTGTGCCCTGCGCAACTTCTCCTTCGGCATGAGAAGCGCCATGGTAGTTGGCCAATTGTAGGCGCTCGCCAGCCTCATACTTGGAAAAGTCAAAGTACAAGTCAATACGTTCAGCTGGAGCCAGGCGGATGCTTTTGCTCTATGGTCGTGTGTCGTGTGTTGACAAGCGTGCAATAATAGATGAGCCCAACCATTTTTGCTTTGGCGCAAATTTGAGGGTTTGAACGAAGTGCCCAATGGCTGCCTGAGAAAAAGGGCCGACCTCACCTTGCGCCGCTTGTCCAAGATTCCGCGTTCCGAGCCGAGAATGTGAAATTTATTCTTACTCATGCGCAGGATGAGCACGCGAGTGCCACATGCATTGAGGACGCGAAGACGGTACTAGTATGCAGTATGCGAACGGCATGCAAATCAAATGAGCTGTTGTCTTAAGACTCAGAATAAAGGTGGGTATGCAAAGTAAAATTGGGCAAGCTCAGGCGTTGCACGTACACCAGCTCGTTCAACGCGAGTGTAGGGACGAATCTTGCCATTGACTAGCATATGTTCACCAGTGTATGTGCCCACCCATTGATCTGAATACCGCAGCGTTCCATCAAAATTCAAGTTGCGATCGGTGATGACGAGGGGAAGCTCAAATCGACCCGAGGGAAGGCCAAGATCAGTTTCAAGCTGATCCCGTAGTATGTAAGCGCCGGCCAGGCCCATGTAGACGTTGAGACGAGTAATGCCAAGACCATGATCGTGATACCAAAGCATTGCGCCGTCTTGTTCATTGGGAAACATGTACGTATCGTTTTCGCCCGGGCCAAACTGAAAGTCTGGGTGTCCATCCCAGCGAAAGGGGATCACGCCTGCAAATTGTACACAGGAAGAGCGCAGCATGCGTCAATCTGATGTGGCTGATGACTTCATGATTGAGGAGTCGCACAGAGTCGTATGGATGTTTTCACTTGTGAAGGTTCAGAATCCGGGAAATCATACCGCCATGAAGATGTGGAACCGTGTATGGCACAGCTTTGTTAAAGGATGGACCATGAATGCATTCTTCCACTGACAGGTAATGGGATGTGCGGAGTTGACCAGCATCATCTCGCAAGTCATTGATAAAGAGGATCTCGACGGGCTCACCAGACCGTGCCTCGATAGTGGGTCCGGGAAAAGTACCGTTGTAGGTCCACATGGTTGTCGGTGCGAGGTCGCGATGCAACTGCACTTGGGTCTGAACCATAGCAATGGTATATTTGGCCGCATGGCCGGCAGATCCCTGGGCGAGTTAGAGTGAGCTTGAACGTGCGAAGTCAGAGGAGCAGAACAAACGAGATACGGTATTGCCAAAGGCCAATGGAGGTAAAGAATAGGATATTTCACCTCTTGCGGAGTTGCAACGGCGGGAATTGGAAGCTCGTCGACAAATGGCTCAAGGTTTAGCACGCATGCATCTGCGCAAGAGGAACCAATCCCCTGAAACATGCCAAACATGTCGCTGCACTCGGAAGCTGATACCCTGATGCAGCCATCGCTACCGGGCAAGCAGCATGCACCTTGTTCGCAGCCTCCGTTCTGTCCAAAACACGAGACATTATCACGTGAGTGTCATGATGGCTCGGCACATGACACCTTGCGTGACGAGAACTCAAGAGGGATTAAGAGAGCTCAAGAGAGGCAAAGCCCAAGAGAGAGCTGACCTCGCAATTGATAGGGCAGCTTCGCTCAGAACAGGGCCCGTAGGCAAAAGCACCGGCCTTAGCTAAACAAGCAACTTCAGTAGTGGCGGTGCAGCCGCCGTCCAACCCACAGCATGAACCAGTCGGTTCATTGGGTGGGTCATATCTATCATGGAGATGCGTGTGAGCAAGGACGTTGATAGACGCATCAAGTACAGCCACAAGTATCAGACAGTCCTTTCAAGCCTTCAGTGCTTTTTGGGCTTGAAAAGTTGTCGAGCTTCTTTGCACGCACTCAATCACAAGCTTGGGCCAATACTGGCTCCGAGTATCCTCCTTAGACACGAAACGTCTGGCTGACTGTGGTTGACGCTCCGCCCCGAGCATGATGAGACTACTCACAAGAAGACGGCCAATGAGTAGGGATGAGGGCAGGGAGACCACAGCTCCGCACGTCTGTACGAGGTTGCTGTCGTGCAGTAGCCAAAACAACGCACCCAAAGTTGGAGCTTGGGGTATCGACCCAAGTTTGCACGGCTGCTTGCAAGCCAGAGAACGAGAACGGCTGCCGTGGCCAGCAACATGATGCACGACGGTGAGTGCAAGCCGAGGGCAAGGTGGCAGCCAAAAGACAAATTGTGACGTACGTGCGCGATGCTATTGTCCAGGCTGAGAGGGCTGCTGCCAATACCAACGGAGGCGAGGATAGCGCTGTTGAAATCGCCACCCATTTGTGTCCAGGGCTCAATGCTATAGCTGGCATACTCCCAAGTGGCATCGTTGACAGTTGGCGGTGCCCCTTGCCCGCCATTGGCGTAGGAGGTGCCTTCTCCGAACGCACGCGTCAAACTATGCAGGGTAAAGGTATCAGTGCGTGATACACCAGCAGGATACTTATCCATGAATATGGTCAGACTGGCTGAGTGCACGATGGACCTGCATGTCATGGTAAAAGCATGAAGTTGGTATCAGTGAATATCCAGGTGTCTATCAAGCTGGTGGAGCCTTGGCAGACGTATGCTTACCCTTCGGGGATGACTTGGCCGACATCAAAGTGGAAGAGGGCACGGCGCGCCAGATTACCACCAGTGTTCCCAGCAAACAATCCACCGAGTGCATTGCTGTAATAGGTACTGATGCCCGCAAAGGCCTTGCGCAAAGACGGGCGAGGCAGAGAATCAGAGTCGGAAGAGGGCCAATCATCGGTCGGGTGGGTAGGTGCGTGAGCGGGTCGGCAAACCACCAATCAAGTCGAGTGAGCTAAGAGCAAGCCTCGGTTGTGTACCTCGAAAATAGAGATGTCGGCATCTGGATACAGAGTTGCCACTTCCGCATGCACCGCAGTGAGCACGCAGGTTGCCGCCACAAGTCGTGCAACGAGCAGAGAGCGCATTGTGTCAGTGTGGCACCCGCCAATTTCCTGCACCCTCACACTACTGCCGTGTGCAGCCAGACTGCACTCTCGCTTCGTCAGATCAAAAATGTGAAGATCAGTTTAAGGCTGCCCGCGGGGCTCGGGCCTCAACGTGAAAATGAGACTCGCTGTGATCAGTTGTATCCGATATCGCTGGGTGGCAGCCGCCACGAAATGCCTTGTCCCTGCTTTCATGCCACTTGCTAACTCGGTCGCAGGGCAACTGCATGATCAGCTGTGACCTTCAGCTCAACATTATCGTGCGGACACGTTTTGTGGCCACAGATGGATCCTACTCCCGGAAAAACTGCATGCAGGCATGGAACGGGTGAGTAAGGGCTCGTGTGATGTTGGCCATGTGCCTGAGAATCTTATGCGTGTGCGCGTTGTTGGTTGTCAGACGATTGAGGCCACCATTGTCAGATTGTCTCCTTGTCTCCACCAAGACCAAGACATTGGGTCGTGTGTCTGATTACCTGCAATCGTCAGATAAAATTGAATCTCTCTCTTCTGTTTCACGTGGGAACGCTGTGCTGTGTGTGTGTGTGCTCTGTGTGTGCGTGTGCGTGTGTGTGCGCCACTGAGTGAGAGTACTTTTCTACGCCCTTTGAGGTGAGCGCGACGGGCGAGTGGCTGCTTTGCCGCGCGGGCTGGCGCGCCCGTATTGTGGCTGCGTCTGCCACAATGTTCTTCTAGTTCCCGTTTTATCTTCAATGTTCTTCTAGTTCCCGTTTTATCTATCGTTGTTTCATGGTGGCATTTATCGTTGCCCTCTTTCTGATACTGCCCTCGCCCTCCACCGTTTGGACACATGACGGCCGAGTTACCAATCTGGTGGACCGAGCCTGACACTTCATCTCCATCTGCTTTCGTGCCGGATTGAGTGTGGTCCTTGCGTAATTCAGTGTGCGGGCGTGTGAGCGTTTGGCATTTGAGCCTTGGTAGTCCCCTGCTGCATCTGTCATTTTCCAATGCAGATGGATGTAGGCCTTTTTGGCGCGAGTGCTGTTGAGGACGTTCTCGTGTTGCACTTCCGGGGATGCCTGCCTTGTGGGCCACTCAACTCATTATGATGGCATGGTCTTTTTGCTTCATTTCATTGATCCTTAGCCTGTTCTTGGCTGTCCGCGTGTCACTTGATGTGGAGAAGAGCTCTGCACACGACCGCTGCTGCTGCTGCTGCTGCTGCTGCTCCCGCGCGCCACTTTTCGCGTCTTGCTGGTCCTGCCCTGCTACGCCCATCCCGCCTTCGTTTACTTCATCTCCACCACTTTTCCCGCACCTTTGGTATGAATTGCTCGAGTGCCATTCTTTGCCCAGGCCCATGGTCCGCAATCATTCATCGCTTGCTTGCCTTTTCCTTTTTCGGCTCTTGCATCTTCGTCAGCCATGTCCACCATTGACGTCGACGAAACACTTGCCGCCAAGGTACATGGCTCTTCACTTGCTACGAAGCAGCTTCCAGCAGCGCGTTCTCCCCCTTTTTTTTCTAGTTTTTCTCGGTATGCCGTGTGAGCTAACTTGCGTGACGATGCCACCACAGGCCTCAGACATGTCTCTGGCTGGCTCTATCGAAAGCCCCTTTGGAATGCACAACCGTGTGGTTCTCAAGAAGGTATGACGCTTCTCATCATGCTGCTTCTTCCCGATATCATGGAAGTATTCCAAGTGCATAATGCCTCCCGTTGTCCCCTCCCTTTTTTGGGGGTTCATTCCTCTCGATTAGCTTCTGGCCGAGCCCAAGAAGCACATTGGAGAGCGCATCACCGTGGGAGGCTGGGTCAAGACTGGTAGGCGTCTCTTGTCAATCAGGGCTTGCGTCCGGGTTTGAAATCTGAGTGCTGCCTCTTGGTGGCGCTTGAGCCCAAATGCATAGATGCAGGGCACCTGAACCTGTGCACTTGTTTTTGCATTCACCCTGCGCCCATTTATTTAGGTCGCATCCAAGGCAAGGGTGCTTTCGTCTTCCTCGAGGTCAACGATGGCTCGACTCCTACCAACCTGCAGGTTTGTTTGGTCTGCGCGCATCCTTCCAGTTGGCGCACACGAGCCTGTCCTTCGCCTCGTGCTCATCATCGTTGGCGGCTCTGTGCTTTCCTCCGGCGACCCGCTTGTCGTGACTTGGCACGCAGTGCATTGTGCCGCAAGAAGTGACGGACTTGAGCAAGCTCTCGTCTACTGGCACGAGCGTCATGCTCGAGGGCACGGTGCGCGGCCTTGGCCCTCATCATACCTCGATCATGCGATTCTCTCACTCTTGCACGTGTTTGGAGCCTGAGAAGCTTGTCTCCTCACTTATCCACGTGCGGTGAACTGTGCGAATAGGTCGTGGAAACGCCCGCGGAGAGCTCCGAGCCCATCGAGGTCAAGGTCGATAAGGTCCTCTTTGTGGGCACCAGCGATGCCAGCACTTATCCTAGTGCGTACTTGTGTGTCGCTTCATGGAGCTCGCCACAAAGGGCGTGGCTATTTTCGAGAAGAAGGACGCTTTGCCTGACGCTGCCGTGCGTCTTCTGAGCTTGTGTCTGATATTTTTTGTGTGTCATTTTTTTTGTGTTCTAGTTGCCAAGACCAAGCTTTCGCTCGAGTTTCTGCGTTCCATGATGCACCTGCGTGTGCGCAGCAACACGATTGCTGCCGTCACTCGCATTCGCAACTGCCTGGCCGCAGCTACGCACCGCTTCTTCCAGGTAGAATATGGCTGCTCTGCTTGTTTTTTTCCAATCTTTTCGCTTATGCTCACGCACACTTTTGCTTGCTCGCGTGGATGGCGGTTGGATTAGCTGCACGGATTCATGTATGTAAACACACCTCTGATTACGTCCAGCGACTGTGAAGGTGCCGGCGAGATGTTCCAGGTACATTGGTCGACCTGACTCTTGGGGCCCGGTTTGAGTCGTGCTGAAATTGTAGTTCCTGCCGCTGCTCACGTGCATGGCATTTTGGGGATAGGTCACGACGCTGCTCTCAACAGCCGAGCAATTGCACAAGGTTCCCGTTCCTTCAGACGAAGACATTGCTCGGGCTGAAGGTGCGTGGTCATCCCTTTTTTTTTTTTTTTTTTTTTTTTCGGGTTGTTGTTAGAAGAGGATAGACTGATTCACATCTTGGCCGTTATCTGCAACTGTGCGCTTTGGTAGCCAACGCCACTGAGATGGCTGAAAAGATTGAGCAGATGAAGGAAGCTGGCGAGAAGGGCAAGAAGATCAAGGTGAGGATCGTAGTCGTTATCATGGGGTTGGAGACTTGTCGGCGGTGGCTACGCGTTAATTTCGAGCTCTCATTCATGTTCGTCCATGCGCTTGGGCCACTTGGTAGAAAGCAACCAAGGATCTCGAGAGCCGCCGTGCGCGTGTGAAGGAGCTGAAGCTGCGTGTGGCCAGCCAGGGTGGCTTGCCCCGTGATCTTGAGGGCGAGATTGATTACTCCAAGGTGCGAGGCATTTCTTGATGTTTGTGGGCTTTGCCAAGCGCAATGCCACGGTTGAGATAGCTTCTTTCCCTGCTTGCTGCCATTGCAGTTTGCCAAGGCCTCACCACTTCTTGGCTCACGTATGACAACAACAGGACTTCTTTAGCAAGCCTGCCTTCTTGAGCGTGAGTGGTCAGCTTGAGGCAGAGGTGTACGCCTGTGCCATGACCTCTGTGTACACGTTTGGTCCGACTTTCCGTGCCGAGAACTCCAACACAACGCGGTAGGTCAGGGCTTTGAGATGCTGGCGGTAGGCTGCTCGAAACAGCCCGGTGCTGATTGGCCCTGGCTTGATTTTTAGTCATTTGGCCGAGTTCTGGATGATTGAGCCGGAAATTGCCTTTTGCGACATTCACGGCGATATGAAGGTGGGTAAAAATGGGAACTGGACCACTGTTGTGCTTTGGAGTCATTCTCAGTCTATACCGCATCTTGATGTCATCTGGTTTGGGGAGTAGTGTGCTGAGGCTTACGTGCAGTACTGCTGCCGTGCGGTCTTGGACGAGTGCATGGCCGACATGGAGTTTTTGGGTCAGCACTTTGATGCCACCGCCATCAAGCGCCTGAAGGTCGTTGCCAACACCCCCTTCCGTCGTCTTCCCTACACTGGTGCGTGTGTCGATGAACATCGTTTCCGTGATGTCTGTGGTCTACATGGGCGTGCATCTGTTTCCTTCTAATTGTCTCTGCTTATCTCTTCAGCCTTGCCTTTGCAAACAAACGCTTGATTGATCACCCGCATCTTCACTCTCTCATCCATCTCTTTAGAGGCCATTGATATCCTCCTGCAGCACGTGGCAGAGGGCAAGAAGAAGTTTGAGGTGGCCGTCGGTATGTTCTTGTTGTTCTTGCTTGGTTTGGTTTTTGGTTGTTCTTGTTCGCGCACCCGTGCCCCTCCTTTTTATTTTATTTTATTTTTATTTTTTTTTTTCAATTCTATTCTCTTCATTTTGTGCGTAGAATGGGGTATGGATTTGGGCTCGGAGCATGAGCGCTACCTCAGCGAAGAGGTTTTCAAGGGTCCCATCATTGTGTACGACTATCCCAAGGACATCAAGGCTTTCTACATGCGCCTGAACGACGATGGCAAGACGGTGGCTGCCATGGATATTCTCGTGCCCAAGGTCGGCGAGCTCGTTGGTGGCTCGCAGCGTGAGGAGCGCCTTGAAGTCTTGGAGCAGCGCATCAAGGACTCTGGCCTGGACACGGAGTCTTACAGCTGGTTCGTTTGGGCAGCGCGCGTTCACCACCTTGTTGGCTCCATTGCTGAGCAGGATGAGTCGTCGCGACCTTTTGATGCCTATTGCCCAATCCTTAGGTATCTGGACCTGCGTCGTTACGGCACGGTGCCCCATGCTGGTTTCGGTTTGGGCTTTGAGCGCTTGGTAGGTTGCTTATCGAAGATTAATCTTGCCAGGTATAGCAAGGGAACATGACTTGCTGCCGCTGACAGTTGTGTTTGTTGGGTCACGTGCTGCGCAGGTTCTGTTTACCACGGGCATTGAGAACATCCGGGACGTCATTCCCTTCCCTCGCTACCCCGGACACATTTTGTAGGCGAGTGACTGCAAAAGTTAGCTCGCTTGTTTTGCCCTGTGTGTTGTTGATGTGCCTACAATACAGCAATGCTTTGCTCTTCCTTGAGCATTTGGTAGAGTCTGTCTCTGTTGCTGTACAGGCGTTCGACCAAGACAGGGAAACCATCATTTGCTTCTGGTCAAGTCAATTGATTAATGCTCTTCTTGATTGTCAGTCTCGACAGGAACTCGAGTCATGCAGGTTGCTTCCGGTGGTTTCATACGAAGCGCGAGGGCTGGCTAAGCAAAGTGGGTGTCCTCGTTGTCGTCTTCTTGTACGTGGACTTGTGATGGTGGGCAACCGCGTTCTCGGCGAGAGAGGCCCATGGCGGCGAGAGCAAAGGTGAAGCCGATAACCGAATACCAGAGGGAGACGATGGCCGTGACGAGGGGCGCGTAGCGAACAATGCAGACGTTTTGATCGTTGTTATACAAGAGGCGGGTGCGAGTCGGGTACACGGCAAACAGGGCCGACGTCACGAAGAAGATCAAGGCGTTGACAATGGAGTGATGGAAGATGTGCTTGCGATTGAAGATAAAATAGAGCAGGCTCAGGCATTCGAGGACGAGGAGCGTGCCAAAGTAGCCGTAGTATAGCGTGCCGCACAAAGCCTGCTCCAAGCTCTCAAACTGCTCCAGCGCGAGGCCGGTAATGTTGAAGGTGAGCAGGAAGTTGGGGTAGTCAATGTTGCTGTACGTGCTGTCTTTGCATGGAACCTCGCGAAACTCGAGGTAAATGGCTCCCATCCTCTCCGAAAGAGGGTATGGCAAGGAGCAGTTGTAGTTGAGCAACGTGTCGGGGGAGACGGCCAACAGGAAGACGGTGACGAGTTTGAAGGTGTCAATGTGCATGATCATGACCTCGGCAGCCGCTTCACGGTCATCGCCAATCAGGATATTGAACAACCAGCCGCCCAGCGTCCAGCGCGACTCAGTACCTTTGGACGTGTTGGCCACCCAATTCTCGCGAGTCAAGTAAAAGAAGACCGAGGCCGCCAACGCCCCAACCAGGAAGAGGGTGGGAAACAGCCAGGCCGCCAACTCGTACGAATTTGTATAATCAAACGTCATGGCGACGGTGTAAAAGCCATCAGAGCAGCTCAATCAACCACAACCCCGCCCCCCCGCCCCCCCGTTGCTGCAGGAAACGTGCGCGCCACCCTAAACTGAAATGCTGTAGCAGATGAAGAAGATGAAGCAAACGGAGATGATGCAGCAGATATTGAAGCAGATGTTAAAGAAGATAGTGGGATCTGATCTCGAAGATGATGCAGAAGATGATGCAGAAGATGATGCAAAATGATGCAGATGATGAAGGGCGCAGAAGAACAGATTGTCAGCATTTAAGAGCCGCACGTTTAGACATGTCATCATTTTTACTGCTTTTAACACACACACACACACACACACACACACACACACACACACACACACACACACACACACACACACACACACAGAGACACGAGATGGTGGCGGGTTCGGCAGCGGCAGGGCCCGTCTTCCGAACGGGCTTTGCGTATGCCAAAAAGTCGCTCACCCAGTGGTTTCCAGGACATATGGCCAAGGGTAGGTGGCTTGTCTCTTTGGGGTTCGCCTTTGCAGTGTGGTGCACCTCGGTGCAGGTGTGGGTACGCATAGAGTGTCTTCTGCTGCGCCGGTGTCGACAGCTGACTTTGCTCGCTGGGTGTTGGTGCACGCGCGAGGCAGGTCTACGACGAATGCAGCAGCTCATGCGCTCATGCGACTGCATTCTGGAGATTCACGATGCCCGATTGCCCATGACAGGCCGAAATCCCAAGTTTGATCACTTGGCCGGCCTGCCGCGCATTCTTCTGCTGAACAAGGCGGATCTCGCTGACGCCTCGCGCGAAGACGTGCGTGGCCTCTAGCGATGCTATCATGTTTACATCGTAGTTCCTTGTTCTTTTTGTTGATGAGTGCGGACCAAAGGGGCCTCGCTGGCGCTTGACCATGTAGTTCAGACTCAAGACACCCACCTTTGTGGACCCCTACCAATTCAGGAGGTCAAAGCCTTTATTGAGCGCCAAGAGCCGGATACTTCGGTGCTGCACGTCTGCGCTGACGGCCACCAGCGGCGCCAAGTTGATCAAGTGGGTCCGCGATTGAACAGCTCCAAATATCCAAGTAGTCCATCGCTCAAGACCCAAGCCTGACCTTCTTTTGTGCATAGATTATGAGTGAAGTAGTTGACCGACTCAGCGACAAGTCCTTTCGTCGCGAGGTTCGCCTGTGATGACAAGCATCTCGCGTCGTTGAGCCCACGTTTACGTGTGACTCTGATATTGGCACCAACGTCTTGGGTTCATTTGCATGACCGTTTCACTTGCAGGCGCCCGAGTTACGCTTGTTGATCGCGGGTATCCCAAATGTGGGCAAGTCCACACTCATCAACGCCATGCGCCAAACCTTCGCAGGGCGTGGTGCGTCGGCGTCCCCGCCTTGCTTCTGCATCAGGTCATCAGAGCATTTCATACCTTATGGCATAGTTGACGTTGCCTTGGTCACTAGGCAAGTGCGCCATCACGGGAGACCAACCTGGAGTCACTCGGGCCGTGCAAACCAGCATTCGCATCCACGATGACCCGCCCGTGTATGTCATCGACACCCCTGGGATCATGCTACCAAACGTTGAGAACCCCGATGATGCCATGAAGCTTGCTGCCATTGGTACGTTTATCGCTATCTGCCAATGCTCCACAATATGCACCATCGATCTAACACACTATCAAGCGCGCACAAAACTCAAGCTTGCTACAACTCCTGCTGGCTTGATTCTCATAGGCACAATGAAAGATGAAGTGGTGGGCGTGGAGCTCATTGCTGATTACGTTCTCTTTCTGCTCAATCAGATGCGAGACTTTGGGTAGATTCTTGCCGCGCGACCACCATGCCAATCACAAGAGCTGTCACATTGGCTGACAGAGCACCACGCATTGTCACCGCCTTTGCTTTTAGATATGTGGAGTACTTTGGATTGCCAGGGCCCAGTGATGAGCTGCATGTTGTCCTTCCCTACGTGGCGCAACGTGTTGGCGCGCTGCGCAAAGGTCCGTGGGTCAAACGACTGTCTTTCAAACAGACGCGCAAATGGTGTCATGTTCGTGCGATGCCATATCCAGTGATATGTGTTCTTTCTTCCTCATACTTTGTGGATCAATCATTGGCTTGTTAGGCAATCGGTATGACTTGGATCGGGCAGCGCGCGTCTTTATCCGAGCCTTTCGTCAGGGGCGACTCGGGACTCGTGTGCTTGACACGTACAAAATGCATCCTCGCTATGTTGCTGCACACGCCAAGCTTTAAGAGGCTGAACCCGCACCATAGCGGGAGGTTTCAAGCTTCCCACCCCACCACTCCCCCTGCTTTTTAAACCTCATACCCTTCAAGGGTTGAGCCGTGTTTGTGCAGAGCACAATAACATCACCTTTTGCATATCATGCACAGCTGTGCTTGAGCTTTCAAATCAAGAAAAACAAACAAACCCACTTTGATGATTTCTCATTTTTTTTTTTGAAAATTCAATAATTTAATTATTTTTCTCCCAATCGTATTTTTTTTTTTTTTTTTTTTTGGGAGTGTTGGAAGCGGCAACGATTGACCACCTCTTGGAGGTTCTGACCGACTGCCTGCTCGCGGCCGAGCCTGCGGTCGTGGGGCAAAAGTAGGCAGAAGACGTGGTGTTGCCATCACGCGTCAACATGGAGGACGCCGAGGCCGCAGAGCGTGCTTTTCAGCGCGTTTGTGATCTGCTGAATGTACGTTGGCGATGACGCACTGAACCTGTTTGCTGATGGCGCGCGGCTTTGTTTTCATGAGCGCGCCGATTGTGGCGGGTCATGCGGTGCTGCAGACACCGGACAAGCTGGAACAGGTGGATCAGTTTCGGGCCAAGGCCATGCGGCGCAAATTGCTCGTTGACACCCAGCTTAAGACCACCGTGCAAACCCAGCTCGACGATGTCCGCGAAAGCATGGCCCTCCTAGCTCAGTGAGTGTCTCGGCGCTGAATCATGTTGGCTGGGTTTTTCGCTGCGTTTTTTCCCGTTGTTTTGTGACCTTGTTTCACTGCCCTTTTTCGTGTCGGGATCTACAGATGTGACACTGACATTGGGCACCTCGCCGCACAGTACGTCTCTCGACTCATCGCACTGCTGGCTCGTCCCCGAGCCATCTGGGGTGTACACACGGGTTTGTCTCACCGCCTGTTGACGGATCCAGCGTTGAGGAATCGGGCGAACTCTACAACACCTGTCGTGAGCTCAAGTCACACTCCAAAACAGCCATGGCCTTGAGCAATCTTCAGCAGCAATTACAGGGCACTCTTGAGCACATGGAGGTGATCTTCCAAGTTCCAGACACTGTCGCTCAGGTCCAATCTGCCATGGAGGCCGAGCGCCCGGCGTGGCTGGAAATTCATCAGCAGTACGCCATGTTTTGCGTGCTGCCTGCTCAGACTGGCTATCTGCGCGTTTGATTGCTCACATCAGTCTCAAATCTGTGTTCGCATCCTTGTTTATTTTATTTTTTCCTGTTTTTATTATTTTTTTTAATTTTTTTTTTTTAAAACAGAATTGTGGAGCTTGAGGCCTGTCAGCGACACGTCGAAGAGCGCATGGCGCAGTCTAGCCGCATTACAACGACTGCCAAACGCACTGTTGCTGAATATTTTGAAGAGGCCAATGCCTTGTCGGTGTGTCCTGCCGGTGCCTGATGGCTGGGTGATGATGTTCCGTGCTAACCGTCTTGTGGGCGGCCATTGCCCAGGCCCGCATGCACCAAGCGCTTTTGTTTGAGGCGAGTGACCCCATCGGCTTGGTCAACGATGATCCTAAGCGTCTTGTCACCGCCCTCCGCATCATCGAACGGGAAGAGCGGTAAGCAGCTGCCGCCTGGACGAGGGCGGCTTCTTGATCTGTCAAGGCGGGCAAAGCACCAGGGCTGAATAGGTCTCACGCAGCCTCTGGTTTGAATCCTTTTGTTTGAATTCATCACCAAGGATCGACGAAACCATCAACCAGGACAAGCAGAAGCGGCGGTTGCGAGCAAAATACCTCGAACGGCTCGAGACCAGTATTGCCAATCGGTCTGTGCCAGCTCGTAGGCCCTGACCCGGCTCTTCTGCATTGGCCTCAGCATGTCTCCACCTCTCATTTTCATTGTTGCTACACCCCATTTGCCGCCCGCAGATTTGACACGCTCTTGTTTTCTCAAAAGTCCGTGCCAGCTTTTCTGCGAACGGTAGATGACTTTTACTTTCAAGACCTTATCACGGCCAAGGTCCGATGCGACGTGCACCTGTTGCGTGGTTTCTGGCTGATTTCTCCTTTCAGCCAACGTTGCCATCAGAGAGCCTGACTCCCTTGGTTATTGGCTGGCTCGGCGTCGTCTTCCTTGTGCCACGCGCCATCGTCCCTAGGAACGTCTCGTCGAGTGCTTTCCACCGCAATATCAGATCTTTCAATTTTTCTTGAAAAACTACCACGAACGGTAGGCCCGCCTGGGCGGCAAAGTGTGTGCTGTCTGGACGCCATTACTACACCGCTGTGCTCATACACGCTCTGATATGACACCATCTTCAAGGTTGTGTTTCATGGCGGATCAGCTGCAGGCACGACCAGACATTGATCCCAGTGAAATTATGCTTTTGCTCAATTGGGTGCCCAAGTACAAGTGCGTGTTGCACGATTGGTCGATTTCCTGCCCCCTCCCCCGTGGGGTGTTCTTGAGTCGGCCTCTGCCTTGCCTTGTCGCTTCCATACTCCTTTCGGCGCCAAGCCAAGTGACTGTTTCCCTTTGTTTTATCTCGTGCGAGCTTCATCCTTCCAAACGGCCTTCAAGTTGTCATCACGTCACCGGGTTGCTCGATTGGGGCCTCGTACCCTCGCAGTTCTGCCCTCGACTCGAGGTTTGGCATCCAGCACACCACCTTGGAGCAGACATTGCTGGGCTTCGGGGAGGCCAACCTTCGCATGCATTACCTTGCGGTATGCTTTAGCTGTCAATCACCAGTGCCTTGTAAACAAATAAAACGCGCTTCCTCAAATCAAGTTTCTTTGTACATTTAGGTACTGAAAACAAAGTTGCAAACCTGGGTGCAGAATTTGGCAGATGCAGATGCCAAAGTGGGTGGTACCAGCGCGCCTGTCTTGCATTGTATTTCTTTTGAGGTCCCTTGGATAGAACTGACTTTGGTGCATTGGTAGCTGTGGCTACCCGAGGGCAAGGCACCCGAGCCACCCACCGAGTCCAAGGGCCAGTATTTGACCGACACACCAGTCATTCTTTTCCAAATGATCGAGCAGCAGGTCAGTCTTACTGTGTTCCTGTCCCGCTACTGTCCCCACCTATCTCGATGTTGGACATGGTGAAGGAGCAAAATTCCGAGCGATTTGATTCTCCTTTTTTCGTCCGGTGCGACGCCACCACATGTAGATCAATGTTGCGTTTCAGCCTGGTGGAGGCCACAACTTTGCCGTGCGGCTGCTCAGCGAGTGTTACAATGCACTCGAAACGTTTGTGCGGGCTTCAGAAGGTATGTTGCTGATGTACAGGCAATATCAGACACGTTCAAGCAGCGTTCCGGTTTGTCCATCCATGATACCGACAAGAATTGCATTTCATCTTTCTTCTACCCTCAGAGCGTTTGCGACGAGTCGAGGCTGCGCATGCTGGTGGTGCTCCGAGCAACTCGCACGAATGCCTAGTACGCCCATCATGGCCTGGTTCAGGTTGTTGCATACTGTCGTCGACCTCACCTTCTGACCTCCCCGCCCTCTTGCTCCCCCCCCCCCCCCCCCCCTT